GTTTGGTTTTAATTTTCTGAATTTAATTTTTTAAAAATTTAGTTTTTTTATTTTTCATATATATATTTTTTATTTTTAGTAAATATTTTTAAAATTGCAAATAATTTTTTTTTACTTTTTTAGATAAATATTTGTAAAAAAGAAAATTAGTAAATATACAAAAATACGAAAATATACTAAATTTTTATATTTTTAATTTTAAGTGTATTTATATCAGATGTGTTTAAAAATTAAAAAAAATTATTTAAGATATTAAAAAAATTAGTGAAAACAAAATAATATGAAAAATTGAAAAAGTAAAAAGTAAATTTAAAAAAAAAAAGTAAATTATGAAAATAGAAATCAAACAGGATGATTCTAATTTTTTTCACTTTTTTATTGTTCAAGATGCTATGGACCCACTGCATAATAATGACGTCTTCTTCTGCCGACTAGTGGATAAATGGCCAATTATTGGACAAGCAACCGGCTACGTGTTACCCGGGACGCACCATATAACTCCGCCGGTTTTACACCGTTGCAATTCAAAAAGCTAAAACCTGTAAACAAAAACCCTATTAAAGTTGTCTGCTTTAGGTTTGTGATTTCTTTAGATTCTTGATTTCCTGTGAAATGATCGAAGTGGTGTGTATGGCATATGCGAACCAGAATCAAGGTGTTTTTGTTCCGTATCATCAATTGATTGATCTTCGCTCTCTGAACCAACCTGTTACCTTCGTCACCGGACCACCCATCGCTCTCAATTTCATAAACCCTAGCAATGGGACAGTATTGGTTCCACCCAAGCCAACCCTAGTTCCTTCTTTTGGTTTCGCTTTGGACCTAGCTTTTCTGGTTCGAATCGAGGAGGCAAGGTCACGGTCTCTGCTTCAGTTCAGGTATACATGAACTTCCATTTTCGTTATGCATATTGGTCGATTACTTATTTGGGTTGTTGATTTGTTGATGATTTTGATCTGTATAGTTTATGGCAGATGAAGGACTTGTGCCTTCTCCAGAAGAGGAAATTAGGAGGAAAAATGCCATTGAGAAGCTCAGACAGGTCACTCTCTGTCTCTCTTTCTCTATTTGATTTTGTATGTCTGCCTGTGTATATGTATCACTTTATCAAGATGATGACTAGCTATGCCTATCTGATTGCAATTTCTTTGGGTTGAGCCAAGGTTCTGAAAAGCGGTTGCGGTCGCCGTAACGGTGGCGGTGACGCGGTTGCGGTTGCGGTTGCGGTTGCGGGGTGTAAAGGCCGTAGTGTAACGGTTGCGGTAACCGGAACCGTGAATTTTTTTATTTTTCGCACAATTTGAAAAAAACTTACCGATACGCATATTTTTTTTCCATGATCATATTTATTGAGTTAAAAATAAATATTGATCAATTTTTGTAAATTTTTAAGTATGATGCAATATATTTCATATTTTTAAATCACTATAAACTGAGTTTTTTACATTTTATTTTAATAATTAATGACTTTATATTATACAAAAAATCAATCACTAACTATTATACATAAGATAAACAACGGAAAAAGTAAAAGAATAAATAAGAGCCTATATATATACATATTTTAAGCAAGCCAAATAAATAAAGACCACACTTATTATTATTATTATCAAACACTATATAGATAGACACACACAAACAAAATGGTTTAGTGATAGCAGCTGAATAGAATAGCATAGGTCTTACATCTTCAACAAATCAATAACATGTTCTTCATCTTCCCTCTTCTCTCTCTCTATCTCTTGCTCCTCCATTTTCTCTCTTTATCTTCCCTCTTCTCTCTATCCCTCTTCCCCCATTTTTAGCTCCCACTAACCTAACCCACTACACCCACTCAACTCCACTAAACCTAACCCACTCTACCTACCACCTCCACTTCACCCCCTACCAGCACCACCACAATCTGCTACCTTCTCTTCTATATATAGGAGTTGTAATCAATATACACATATCAATCTTGTAATATACAACATCAATAAATAATACATCATTATTTTAACACTCTATTTGATTTTGTATGTCTGTCTGTGTATATGTATCACTCTATCAAGATGATGACTAGCTATGCCTATCTGATTGCAATTTCTTTGGGGTTGAGCTGAATTTTGTTAAGGAGTTCATTGATTCATATATATATATATATATATTAGGGAAGAATGGTGCATGATTTGGTTTGTGCTTTAAGTTTTAAGAAACATCTTATCATGTGATTTTGTGGCCTATATGGAATTCATATGTTTGAGGTAGCAGTTAAAGGTTATGCTGTTAATGGAATCACCTATATGCTTCACGGGGGACCAAATATTTTTGAAATTCAAGTTTATCAGTTACCTTTGTTGTTGAAATGGATTCATAAGATAGCCTTTATATGTGCTTTCTTTGATTTACTTATGTGATGCTCATTGTGTATAAATTTCAATATTTTATGTCACCTCACAGATAGTGATCGAATGGATTAAGAGTGTTGCTCACAAACGTCGGCTTCACAGACAACATATTACAGATACTTCTGCCACTGTATGAACATATGGATCGTGTGGCCTTGGAGGAAGTCATTTGATTGGAAGTTTGTTTTCTCTTTCTTTTGTTTCCTTATTTTTCTGTTGTCAGGAATAGATGGGGACGGGGAATTCATGATACTATGTTTCACTTACTAACAGCTTGCAAGTAGCTAAATGACTAGAATTGACATGTAAATGAAAAGAAACATTTCATTTTGTAAATTTTTTTATTTTTTTACTACGACTTGATCTAGCTACAATCATTGGAAGATAAAAGATGGCTGATCTGGTTTGTGCTTTTCTTATCTAATATGTTCTTGGTGTTTAATAGGTTTGCAACGAGTAATTGTAAGTTTCCTCATACATAGGGGTTCTGTTCCAGGGAGAAATCTAAATAGCATTAGTAGGAAAATCTACATCCAAATGTTCACAAAACTCTTATCACTTACTAGGCTGGCAATTGAATATGGTTTTATTTATTTATTTTGACATATAAAGGGTTCCTCTTAGAGGAAAAGCCTAAATACAGTTAGTGGAAACATGGCAACTGGAAATTTTGGAAAAATAAATTTACACATCCTTCTTCTCACCTGATTTTTTAATTTTTTTTTGGGTTCTATGTAGGTTCATAATTCAGAGTTAGATATTGATGCTTTATGTGTCGGCCCCTGCTTTGCTACTTTGGCAGTAAGCATTTTTATTTTCCTTTTCGTATACATCATAGATGATATTGTGTAGGTAGTATCTCTTGACTTGTTATCTTGTGAACCATGCAGGAGGATTTTCTTTGTTTTCCTACACAACATGCTTACAAGCAGAACAGAAGTATCTGAGGTCCACTGCGTCAAGGATGCAAAAGTTCCTCTAATGCAGTTTAAACTTGATGGGATTTCATTTGATCTTCCATATGCTCAACTTAAAGTAATGTCTATTCCTGAGCTGAGTGTGATGCATGTAGAACCAACTCTTTCAAAACAGTCAATTCCTACAGTTGTTTCTGCATATACACAAGGATCTCATGTATGTAGATTTCTCTATCTAAATCTATACCTGTCAAGAGATCTTTTTATTTTTATTTTTTGGGTGCTGATTTTAATAAATTCCCCCATTCTTTTCATCAGCATGTTGGAAATTAGTATTTCAACAATCTCGTTATATAAACTCTGTGCATTATTTGTTCTTTTTTTTTTCCCCCTGTTGGAGATTTGACTTGCCATGTTATGATCTACAGAATGTGGACATACTCAACCCTTTCTTTCAAAGCAACATTGATGAAAAGAGCTGGAGAAGTTTGTCTGGAGTTCATGCTAACAAATGCATTCTTCGGCTTCTCCCGAATATGGAGGTATCAAGCATGCTATCTATGGGTTCCTACGGTAATTATTTTTGTTCTAGGTGCAAAGTAGTTCTGCTGGTTTTCAAGGTTGAACGCCAGAGTAGAATTTGTCTCTATTTCTTGAATCTTGCACCTGCATTAGGAAATAATTTAGCTAATTCTTATTAGCATGCTCTCTATGGCATCAAACCATGAATACCTGTGGGGTTTCGTTTTCGAAACTGCTGCCACCTTGATATTAATATATGCATGATAATCATTCTCTTTCAGCTCTCATTTTTTGTGCGCTAGGTGGTGCTTTCAAAGTTCTTGTAGATCTCATATATTCTCGGATTGTTCTATTCCAAGTATTCAAATCACTACTGCGATGTGTTAAATTATGGGCGAAAAGGCGAGGACTGTATGGTAATGTAAGGGCATATTAGCTTGGTATAGGGTCACATTTGAGATTTGTCTTTATGTGTTCTCCCCTCGCCTCTGTCAAGGGTAAAGAAATCCTAGGTTTTTTGGCGGAGTCCATTTAACTATTCTTGTGGCATTTATTTGTCGAAAAATGCTTGGGAGCACTAATTAGTGCTCCCACTAATTAGGTGGCAGTGGGTCCCGCCATTAATGATGTGATGTTTTGGTCTTGGAGTTGTATTTTTTTTTTTTTTTTTACTTTTTTAATGCATTAGTGCTATTAGTGGTGATGTTTTTAGTGGGATGAATCATTGTTGTTATTTGTCAAAGGCACCCAAATGTGAGCTTGAATGGTTTGATTTCGAATTTCTTTAAGACATTTGCCTCTTGGGATTGGCGAACTCTAGTAATTCTGCAAGATGGGATGGTGCCCATGACTATAAGTGCCAGTGAAATACGGTCCTTGATGCCCATTAGACTTCCATGCAGACCACATGAATATTGCCATTCTAATATCACCAAGAGCACCTTCTACTGAATCAGGACAGAGTTTCACCAAGGGCATGCTTTGACAAAGGTACCTTTCATTTTTTAAATGGATATCATTATTATAATATCTCTTGTACCTTTTACTAATAACTACTTTCAATGGTTGTTTGTGATGTATTTTTGGAATCTGAGAGTGTGGTTTTATTATTTTTATTATTATTCATAAATGGATTTGCTTAAGCTATCGTTTTTCTTGGCATTGCAGGATATCCTGAGACCACATTTTGGTTGGGCTTGCCTATTTGAGCCTTTTCTGTATACAAAAAAAGTACACATGATTTGTCAAAATATGTCTTGCAGCTTCTGATCAAGATGAGTTACGAAAATGGGTGGGTTGGGTTAAGTCACAGTTCTGCAGCCTTCTTGTTAAGGTTAGTGTCTTCATCTCATTTAAGATTATTAACTTCTTGTTGATAACTACTGTGATTGTTTAGGCAACTACATGTGTATTCTCTGTACTTACTGGTTGTGTGGTAAATTTGGTACTTTTTTCAAACTATGAATATTTCTTATTTATACTATTATTTAATTTGAAACCAATAACCGGGCAATCAATTGAAATTTGTCTTCTATAAGCGAGTTTGAATTCTCAGTTTTTCACTCCGACAAATGGAATTTGAAGTTCTACAGTGTCGCATTGAATTTTCTGCCATTTTGTTATAGTTGATGCTTAAAGCTGTGTACCATCATCTGTTCATCCGGGTGATTAGGTCAAGGTGCTTTTTTCATTTTATCTTCGTAGATGATAAGGATTTTAGATTTCACTTTAGCTGTTGTCTAACATTCAGTAGTTGTCGATTTTATTTCATTGTAACAACACATGCGTAAATGTGATTTTTCCGCAACTGGAGTGGATACGTTGTCTTTCATTTAGACCATACTTAATGACATTGCTTTTTTTGTGCAGCTTTGAGAGTGCTCGTATCAGTTTTTAGTCCATTTGATATCGGCTTCCAAGTTCATATTGGGAACTGTGGTGAATGCTTCGATATTGTTATTCAATTTTTGCTGGATGATTTTTTTCCCCATCTAA